GGCGCTCCTTAGCCTATAACTTATTAGCGTGGAACCGCTATAGCACGGAAGGGGGATACTTATGGTAGTGATACCCGCGCTACTAGCGGTCTTTACCGCTACGTACGCCTAATAGATATCTATAAGGCGTTATTACTACTTCTTAGTAGCGGAGGAGACCTATCGAATTATTAGCTATATCTACCCTAACATATACACGGTACTATTATAGTACCGAGGCGATTTATATCCTTATATAGACGGCGACTATTAGTATACTAATAATAGGCCGCGCCTATTCCTATAGTATTAGCGTAGGCTTCTATATCGTCGGGGTAAATACCTAAACACTTACTATAATACATATAACTACCCTATATTAACGCTATAATACTACTCCGGCGCCACTAAGAGCTATATACGGTATAATATAAACTATTCCGCGCTTATAGCAGTGGTTATTATTATTCGTATTAGTATTATTAGGAGATAATATCTACGACTATTAGTACGCTACCACTAAAGTATCGCTACGCTATAAAAAGAACTTATATTATACTACTACTTTAGCTAACTTATTTGTATATATAAATCGCTACTATACTACCGAGTTAACTCTACGCTACTAAGCCACCGCGATATTACCTATAAAATACCTATAGTTACAATATAATAAGAATATCATAAGAAAACTAAAGGGGTTTACCAATTAGTATAGGCCGTAATAATATACCTATAAGACTATAAGCGGGAATAGACCGGGGAAAACCTATAACGAACTTATTAGCGTTATAGGAGGAAGAGGGAGGATTAAGCTATAAAGGCCTTAGGGGATATTAACTATCTAATTCTTATAATAGGGTAGGGCCTTATTCCCCTTACCTGCCGCCGGATATAGCAGGAACCTACCTAGGGGAGGTAGGAGGCGCCTACTACCCCTACTCTCTTTATTAACCGCACGGAAGGAATAAAGGTATAATCTCTAAAGGACGTAAAAAGCCCGAGGAGGGAGAGCCGTAGCTACCGTATAGCGGAAACGCGGTAGCGCCCCCTTAGCCCCCGTTCTACCGATAAAGATTAGCCTAGGCTAACCCACCTAACCACTAGCCTACTATACTTCCCGTTAGCTACCGGCCTAAAGGTAAGATTCAGATCCGTAACGGGGATAAACCGGGGCTATATCGGCCCTATAGCGGTACCTCTCCACCTAAAGAAGTATATAGAGGTTTTCCCCGGGTTTTACCCGGGTTTTCCCCTCTATAGCCACCTAAGAAAGACCGTATAGCCTAGAAAGGCTCCTATAGATAGATTAGTTGGGATAGCGGAGTAAGGTTAATAATAATATTAATAATAATAATATTATTATTATTAGCAAATAATTATAGATAGAATACTCTAATAAAAGTATATAATAAAGAGGATTTAGATAAATACGAAGCCCAAGGAGAATTAACTATAATAAGAACTTAAATAGAAATAAAACTAAAGTTAAAGCTATTTTAGTATTATTATATTATATCACTATCGTATGAAAGCTATATAAATAAAATATAATATAATCCTAATTCTATTATACAAGGCTCTTTTTATATTATATATAAGGTATAATTTCTTTATATACTTAAGAAAGTGTAATATATCTATCTATTAATAAGTTTATTCTTATCGTAGATCTTCGTAGTTCTATAGTTTTAAACTATTTTAAGGACTATTAAAAATAAACAGCCTTTATCTATAAATAATAATGTCTATATATATTACTTAGTATATTTATCTACATAGTATAGTTAAATAGTCGGGTTATATACGTAGCCCCCTATAGGGGCGAGCATAGCGGCCTTACCTATAAGGGAAGCTACTAATTAGTATTAACGCGTTTACGGGGGGTATAGTAATTATTTATGTCTATTACTTACTTAACGACGATACTATTTATAACCGGAAGATAGTAGAAGAGGAATATAGGAGAATAAACTAGCGACTATAGGGAGGAATCGACGGTTAATAACAAGAGATAAAACGCGATTAATATAATAAAAAACAGCTTTTTACCTATTAAAGAAACAATATAAAAACGTCGTTATAGCGTAGAAGGAACTAATAAATAGCTATGGATAATAAAAAGTAGGCGTTTTATAGTTATTTTTGGATATCTACGGTTATTTTGTCTTATAGAGTAGTTTATATAACTAGCCCCCTCCCCCCCTTCCCCCCCCTTTAGGGGGGGCGAGCTTAGTGGCGTTGCCCGTAGGGCAACCTGCTAAGCTCGTAATAGTTATTTTATAATTATATAGGGGCCCCATAAGCCGGGACCCTAGTAGCACCGAAGCGATTACTCCTTATTATCCTCCTTATTACCCCCCTTAGAGACACTAACGCCGCTATTAATATACTTAAGACCCTAAAATAGAACGGTTAGCCGACTGAGTACCGTATATAGGATGTAAGGGGACCTTATCGAGGCCGCTTATATAATAATCTAATAGGATACCCGCTATACTCTTAACGCACTAAAGTTAGCATAATATATCCTATAACTCCTCCGATAAGGTGCCGCCGCGGCTATAACCGCAAGGTAACGTCTAAGAGATAGCCCGTCTAAAGGATAAAGCCGCTATCTTTATACGCTCCTTAGCCTATAAAATACTAAACTATTAGTATAGCACTACTAAGACACCGAAAGGGGATTATTAACTATAATAATACCTATACTACTGGCGGCCTTAGCCGTTATATACGCTAAGTAGACTTTTATAAGATATTACTATTACTTTTTAGTAGCGGGAGGGACCTAAAGGCCTATTAGACCTATCCGCCCCGGCACCCTAGCTGTATACCTATAGTAAAGGGATAACTTATATCCTTATAGGGATATCGGCTATTAGTATACTAAAAGTATATAGCGCCCGTGATACGCCCTAGATTCTACTAGAAATACCAGGGCGTACCACGGGGTACCCTAACAGTACTATAGTATAAGCTATAGCACCCACGGGGTATATTAACCGGGGACTTCAGGGACTATTATAAGCGCTTTAAACACGAGGACTTCGTTACGGACTACAGCTACAGGCATACAAAAACGAGGGAACACATCGCCCACTACGGCAAGGTCAGGGGGATCAAGGACAGTAAGTGGCTAGCCCAGCTCTAGCGCGATAACTAATTGTATAACCTATAGGAGACTCTTACGAAGATCCTGACGAACGGAGCGGCTTTCGCCGCGCTAAACGACGCAACGGGATATCTAGAGAAGATATACCTATTATCCTCTCGATTAGGAAGAGGAGTGCTACCCTAGGCGACTAGGGCAGCGGGACAGGAACACAGCAAGGAGGCCCCCGAGGGCGCACCGCCAGACATAGATGTTTTCATATATCTTGTATACTACTATAGACAGTACAGTGTAGATTTCGCCGTTTTTCGTGGGAGAGAGGCATAGAGTCAAGCGTTTAACACTGTACGCTCTTAGCACAGATATATAGAGATCGCACCGCCCGATACTCCAGGAGGAGCGCGTACCCAGTATTCACTAGTATTATGCCAAGGCGTTAAATAGATACACACACACACACACACGGGGTATATTATAGATACTTTTAGGGTATACTATGGCTTCCCTGGGGTATAATTAGTGAATACCGGGGAATCCCCTAGGTTCCTGTACGTAGAAACCGAGGATTCCACGGGCTTTACCCGTGGAATACTTAAGGCCCGGGGGCGCGCCCCCTTTACTTAGAGAAGATATCTTTATTATACCCTATTTACTATAGTAAAGGTTACCCTCTAAATTCTGGGTTCCCTAGGTCCGATAGTGCTGGCTGGCTAGAGTCGTGCCCGGCTAGGGTATATTAAATTCTAGATCCTCTAGGTCTTACAGTACTAGCTGGCCAGGAATTTACCTGGCGAGGATATATTAGCCTACACCCGTGGTATTAGAATAGACCTTAACGTTATTAGGCTATAACCCTAGGCGCTTACTAGAGCGAAGGCACCTACTATATATTAACGACACGATACTACCTTAACACTATAAAGGTATATATATAGTATAATAGAAGTTATACCGCGTTTATAGCGGCTATTATTATTATTACTATTAAGGGGAGGTATCTACGGCAGTTAGTATACTATAACTAAGGCACTACCACGGCACTAGCACTTATATTTACCATTATTATTACTATTATTATTATTATATTTATTACTACGATACTACCTAGTTAACCCTATATTACCGTAGCGCTACCCTTAAACCACGAACTATATACTAGTTAAGAAAATAGAGGAACATAGTATATAGAGAACTAGAAGGCGTTATAAGTTAGCATAACGCCGCGACGATAGGCCTATAAGGCAATAAGCGGGAACGCAGCGCGAGGGAAAACCTATAATAAGCTCTAAGACGTTATAGGAAGAAAAGAGGAAACGGAAAAGGTCCTTATTATTTATTAACTATCTATACGGATATAGGCGGAGCCCTCCCTTCTTACCTACCGCCGGATATAGAAGGCACCTACCCCTAGGGAGGCAGCAAGGCCTACCTTACCTTTTCTCTTTATTAATTAAATAGAAGGAATAATAGGAACGCCCCCCGCCCCCGTATTAAGGACCGGCCTAGGCTAACCCGAACTATAGCCTACTACCCTTCCTATTAGCTATTAGCCTAAAGGTATAATCTAGATACACAGAAAAGATAAACCGGGGCTATATCGGCCCCGTAATAGTATTACTCTAACTAAGAATAAGTATAAAGGTTTTCCCCGAAACCCCGGGTTTTCCCCTCTACAACTACCCGAGAAGGACCGTATAGTCTAAATTAGACTCCTATAGACTAGATAGAATAGCGGAGTAAGAATAAGAATAAGAATAAGAATAAGAATAATAATTTATCTAAGTAAAGTTCGTGGTACTTTACAGGGATATTTAACTATTAGGAAAAATAAACGGAAATAAATGTAGATATATAGGATCAAGCTACTCCACACGTCTAACATAATATAGTTTATTATACCTCGATACGGTGGCTAAGGGCATCTAATATATTCCTTGAAAAACTCGGGATAACTAGGTAGTATTCCTATATACAACTTGAAGATGTACTGATGCGAAATAACGGAAAAAAATTAGAACTTTTCTTATATTGTATCAAGTCTCGACTCCTCGCTAATCGGTCCTGCAACAGGGAATAAGCCATCCTCCTCACCCAGCACTTACAGAACTAAAATCAGACGCCGTAGAATCATGAGCCCCCAATCGTACCCCCAACGAGTATGTCTTACACAACAAGTAAATAAGTTTCCAAGTGCACCGCTTATGCTTCTCTCGCCATTTGGGCAAGGTCGGGAAGTTGCTTCGCAACTTTATACGATGTGTTCAAGGCCCCTCGTCACGCTTATCCGACTTTATAATCAACATCATCTCTCATCGGCGGAACTGATCGACGGAGGCGAAAGTGTCGTAGTCAGACAAAGCGGTAATTCCCTCTCGCGACCATCCCGATTCTCGGACGTCGCTGAAGGCGTCCGCTGGCCCTCCGCTATGCTAAGAGCTGCCTCACTCTCCGTGTCCGATGATGGTGAGAGTGGGTGGTTGGAAGATACTGTTTTGGATGTCTGCGCGGAGGAGTACTTTCGATGAAGTTCCTGGAAGCTTCTCGCTGTTGCTGTGCTGGTACTCGTGGCTGACTCCCTACGTCTTGACGTATCTGGCAGACATCCAGGGCTATAGTGAGTGTCGTCTTCCCTTACATTGTTTGGAGAGATTGTGAGGTCTCGCTGTGCCCGCTGCTTCAGACGCTCCTCAGTGGGAAGATGTTGAAGACCATCGCCCAAGTCGATGACGGAGGCCTTTTTGCCGTGCACCACGAAACTTCCTGACCCACGACTCAAAACATCATCTCGCATTGTGTCTTCGGATATGCCAGTGTATACCGAGTCTTTGCCTTTCCGGCTCCGGTGATGTGACAACTGCCCTGCGCTCTCCCTGAGAGTCCGTTGCAGACTCCGCCTGACTCTAGTCCTGTCTTGCTTCTCGCTGGGAGACAAAATGTCCCAATGATCTGAAGCTTCTGTCACTTCTGACATGGAACCGGCGCGGCTTCTCCCAGGTCCTAGAACATGGCTCGAAGGTAATTGTGACTCTATGAATGCGGGTTGTTCTAGGACGTCTCGATTGCGAGCATCCACCTCGGTATGGCATGCCTCTGTGTTAGGCCCCAAGAGGTTCGAGTTCGAGTCCTCTCGCGTATGTGACAAGCCGCTCCTGCCATTTCCGTTGCTTTGAATGTCTGGTACCGTGGATGACAGGGCAGTGCTAGAGCAAGATTTAGAACGGGGCTTCACGCCCTGAGATGCAGATGACAGAGACGAGCCCCAGGAATGCTCATGCTTGTGTACGGCCCGGCCAAGGTCCGTTCTCGATTCCTCGAAGCTCACGGAGTCTGCAAACTCGTTCTGAACGCGATCATGCGTCGTACCAGGCTGCGCTGGCGGGCCCTGGGAGGCAGCGCATTCTCCTTCTCGGCCCACGTTCAGTGACTTTGTCGGCGACAGATCATCCAACGTGACGCCCTCTTCTTCAAGATCGCGACTCAGAACATCGCGGTGACATTTGATCCGCCAAATACCCATCCGTATCCACTTAATCTTCACATCCATACGGGCAGCCTCCCGCAGAAGTTCGTCCCGCGACCTAGCTTGAACCGGCGACAGGATCTGCAAGTGGCGCGCGTTCCGAAGATCCTCCTCGAGTTCCTTTTCCTTGGCTCTGATGTCACGAGCAGCTTGCTCTACAGCTCTTGCCATTGCCTGGTGCCGTTGCACCAGTATCGATTCTGCTTCATGCTGATCAATTCTGCCGCGGACTATGCTGACTTCTCCAGTCGGCGTCTGGATAACCTGGGCCGTGTTCGAACTACCAAGTCGTCGGATCCCACGCCGGCTCTGGCCCTCGTAGTGACTTCCCACCACCCCTCGCATACGGATACTCGACGTCATGAAAGCCGCCGCATAGTTGAGCTTTGCTAGCCAGTCATTCATCTCTTCTTCATTATCGGCGAGCAGTATTTCCTCAACAAACGCAGCTGGTCTCGCATACTTGAACGCATGCTTGTGCTTCTTGTACGAAAGGTCAACGAGGGCAACAGCGTCCTTGGTTGGCATCAAGGCGTCCGGCTTGAACTCGGCAATTTGCGGTTTGAAGATGACAGGCTCTCCATAAAAGCCTTGCTTGACGTGGGATTCATATTGATGCATCAGGTTCTTCACCCACGCCGTGTTGCGGAAAAGATAGAGCTGGGCCCCCGTGAGAATGGCACCCCACTCCTGCCATCTGGGTCGTGTTTTTTTCTTCTTCGCGTCTTTACGCCACAGAATACCAACTTTGGTGATCTTGATGTCCACGACACCTTGCGGGGCCGTCTCTGGATTCGTGGTGCTTTTTTCATCGCGAAATGCATCCGGACGTGACCGTTCCGAAACGATCTGCAGCACGCCTGTTCTGAAGAAAGTTCGTTGCAGTTCTCTAACGTTCAGGTCCTTTGACGTCCCGAGGTAGTTGTAGTGATCCTCCAGCTCCATGACGTCCTGGAGACTGGGTCGCAGGGTATCCAGCTTGCTGTCTAGAATGAGCGTATAAGGGTCCAAGGGCTCTTTGGATGACTTCCTCGGCATCCGGTCCGACGTACCACGTGGGAATCTCGTCTTGCTTTTGGTCCGCTGACAGTCGCTGCCCCAATCCACTTCCTCTTCGACGTGGATGAATGGCGTATATGTGATGTTGTCGTAGAAGCACTTCAAAATGGGCTCATACACTCCCTCCCCTCGTGTGTTTTTGATGTAATCCCCTTGTTGCATCTTGTGCTTGTTGTTTTTGTTGAAAACGTCGGTGTGAAGAATAAGGAGTGAGAATGCGACAAAGTAGGCTTGGTCTGGGCTGGAATATATTCCCGGGTTACATTCATGATACCGATTGGCAAAAGCCTGTAAATATCGGTCGATCTGCTGGGTCTCTTTGGGAAGTTCGGCTTCCATGAGCAGCTTACGGATAGCCATGTCCATGGGGTCGCCAAAGAAGCTGAATCGGCGCATGTAACTGCGAAGTACCGTCAAGTAAAAAGGATCTGTGCCGCGAGACAGAACACTAGCAATAACGCCACGGCTGAGGCGCTGCTCGATGCGAGCCAAATACTTAGCTGCGGATTCGTCTTCGCGTCGATCCGGGAGCGAGATGGGTTCCCTGGCGATCTGGATGGAGTTGTTCTTGGATGTGCTGGAACTCGGTGTCCCTGGGCTCAGGGTCCCATGGCGCATTGTTTGGCCTGGTTCGGCATTCTGTCGCAATCGGTTGAAACCGAACACGTCGCCCAAGCTCTTACGGCCGGTGGAGGAGGAAGTCCTAGTCGTCTCACGAGTCAAATAGTCCTCCATTGAGTTTCTTCCGAGCGAGCTGACGGTTGAGGATCTTCCACGAAGCTGTAGCCGTGATAGTTTAGGTGTCGACCGTGTTAAGGTGGTAGGTTCTGGGCTTAAAAGCACAGTAGCCGGTGTGGTGGTGTTCATCTTCATAGACAGGTCCGCAGCTGAGACAGACGTAACAGCTACAGCTCCAATGCCGTGACTAGCCGAGGGCCTTGATGTATTTTGTGCTGGGGATGTCTTTTCTTGAGATGCACATGCCTGTGGTTCGCCAAAGCCCACTTGGGACTGCGTGGAATGGGGCAATGTCGCTTGTTGTGGGAGGTGAGACAAGTCGAATAGTGGCGCAGGTGCTTTGCCTTTCCTTCTCGCAAGCCACGAGAAACTCGATGCAGGTGGAACTCGTAGCTTTGTCTGTGTCGTTGAGTTGGTATGGTTCGAGCTAGCATCGGATCGAGACGACTCGGAGATTCGAAAGGCATTCACCGATGGCATTGAAGCTTCGTTTCCTCCGGTGGTATCTGGTGCCTTGAAGGATGACCCTGCCGCGGGTTCGTGAAACGTGACAAGGGTTGGCCGAACTCTCAAGGCTGACCGATCCAGTCCGCCGGGCGTCTCTTTCAAGATGAGATCTCCAGGGGGATCATCTCGGCTATGTCTCGAATTGCAAAAACGATCCGGCAGCCGCAGGCGAGAGTTCTTCTTGTGAGGAAGAAGGGCCTCAGTTATTGGGACGGTATCCATGAGTTCGGGGGCTGCGAAGGTTAGCGTCGTGGGAGAAGCTGGAGTGGTAGTGCAACCACGTCCAGTAGAAGGCTCAGATAGACATACGTTTGGGCATAGGTGGGACATTGCCGGCCTGTTGTCTCGCTCGGAGGGATAGCTGAGAGTCTGACGCATTGCGAAACCTCAAGATGGAAAAACGCCGATGCTTGGAACTCTCGTCCTGGATTGGTGGGGTTTTAGGCCGCAAACGCGACTCATCGGTGGTATACAAGTTTGCAGGTCCTTCGCCAGCAGATGTTGAGAGTTCAAGCGAAGTTGAAGTCGGCGATGGTAGTGCTATAACAGGGTACCGTACGGCGGTGTCGGCAGCCAGGTAGGCCGCCGAATCGGGATTGGAGTCAGAGGGATCGTCAGACGAAGGGCGTGTTTGGGAGACGGAATTGCGTGCAGTGGCAGAAAGACGCCTCATATCAGAATCGCTGGCCACGTTGCCACGACGGCGTAGGAATGGCATGGCTGCAACGAAGCATTGTTTGTTACGAGTGAGACCAACTCCGTATGAGAGACAACCAATGAGCTCCCCCAGTCGCGTCGGCCTCCCACAAAGGATGCGCGATATTCTAGAACTGTGCTAAAACTCCCACTGCCGACCGCAACATCGGAAAATTCTAGAATAAGGTGGTCGCAGTGATTGGAGAAGATTCCGTTGCACATAAGTTTGAGGGTTGTTAAGCAGAGAAGCAGCGTGAGTCTGGTGGAGGTCAGAGCATGGAGGAATTGAATGAGACGATGACGCGGAAACTACAGTGGGTCGGCAAAAGTTTCGGTATAAACCCCATAACAGACTTACTTCACTATATTAACCCTCTATCTTTAAATAGCTATAACTAAAGTAGACTAATAGCTATGGGCTTCTATATAGTCTTATTAGTCTTATAAAAGGATAAAGATTAGAATAATATATATAGTATATATAGTCTACTTATATATCTTATAGTATTAAGACATTTCTGCTTAGTATTATCTACGAGATAATAGAATCGTACTTTTAGACTTACTATTATATTCGCGGAATATAAACTCTATAAAAACGGTTATAATAACTAAGTAAGTATATATATTACAGGTAGAGGCTCTATTAAATCTAAAACATTCTTAGCTTATCTATTTAAAACCGCGACTATAGTATTAGAAGAGCTTTAATATATACCCTATATATTCTAGTGAATTAAATACTCTATAGTATTTCTACTATTATATAAGGAAATGTGTTATATATAAATATATATATCATTCTATAGCCCTGTTTCTATAGTATCTATAATATATAGCTACCACTTTTCTAAGCAGCAATTAGTATCTTTAGAGGACTTAGAAGATATTAGTAGAAGTAGTGGTAGCGGGGTATTTTTAGCTTATACCGAAACTTTTGCTTACTCACTATGGATGGGTGAACGACAAGTACGTTGATGGATGACCTCTTTTACGCATCATTCTGGGAACGCATGTCCCAGCACAGACCTTCCGAGTTATTAGCTGCGAGAGACTGGACCACCAGTTGCCACATAAGCTAGGTATATGTGTTAGATGCCCACAGCCACGTTATCGAGGTATAATAAACCATATTGTCTTAGACAGTGGAGTACCTCGTTCCTATATATCCACACTTATTTCCCCTAGTTTTTCCTTATAGTTAGATAACCCTATAAACTATTATGAAGTTTACTTATATATATATATATATATATATATATATATATAATATCGTACCTTTATTTATATTCTAATAGTAATAAGCCTAGCGCTCTAGTAAAACGACTTTATTCTGATTAAGCTAATAGTTCTAAGGCAGATATCCTATTTAAAGCCTCGAGTCTATTATAGCTAAAGCTATTCTGCTAGTAACCTCTATCTGCTTGTATTTTATTTAATCGCTTTATCGTTTCTATCGCACTATCGTTTAAAGCGTTTAGTATAGTTAATTGACCTATCCGGTTATTCTATTCTGCTGCTTTTTATTAGTATAATAATATCTTCTACGGTTGTAATACTGATTATAGGCCTTATAACGCTTACCTCGCTTAAGGACTAGCGTCCTTAGATTAAAGCCGTGAGGACTATCGCGCACGCTTATAATGTCGCCGACCTCGTTAAAAGAGGATAAACGGTCTACGCGCCGTATCTAAACCGATACACCGATTCCCCCTACTACTGCTAAAGAACGAAATACCTCTAATGCGGATATATAGTTTAAGATCTAGTAGGTATAAGAGGATTATGGAACAGACTATAGTCTTTTCAGTTACGTAATAATCCGGGTAGACACCTGCAGAATCTTCACCACTAATACTACGGTGGCAGGAATTCTCTGACAGTCCTTACACAGCTATAATTATACATAATTGCCTTAATTAATTTTAACCTAGTTTATAACATTTTTAACTACGCTTTATCTGACAATTAAGAGTCTTAACTTACTATATGAAAAACCTACCCTTTACCTTTACTACTACCGATTAACAAGCAATATAGCCATGCCGATATAGCGTTAATCTATAACTATTAAGATATCGGAGTATAAGCCTATTATCTATAAAACCTATCGCGATTAGGAGCTCTAACGTAGCCACTACGAAGCTACGGCCGTTAATAATAACGTCTAGGAATAACGTCTAGGAATACCTATGCCATAATAATCCTATTCCCCCTCCTTAAACGCCTATTTTACCGTCCTACGCTAACTTCTAGCCTTCGTATATAACCCTGTAAGTAGAAACTACGCCCTTATAGTAGTTAGATCTAATACTCACTAGGCAGCGCGCCTATAATTCAGAGATATAACGCTAGAAGATATAGAGGGATAACTACGCTAAGTACGTGAAGGGTATTAGCGCTATTTTAACCCAAAAGACTAATACTATCAATATAAGCTATAAGCTATTATAACGCCTTAAAGAGGTTAAATCGAAGCCCGTAACGTATATCTAGGTAGTAAACTTCTTTAGAGGGATACGAATAATAACTAGGCGCGATATGACCGAAGCCGAGGAACGCCTTTTAGATACGAAGGTAATCCTCTCCGAGGACCTTTATACCCTTAGTTAACGATATATCGACACTAGACTTAAAGACTAAGGAAAACGTGGTAGCCACCATGCTATAGTATTCCCTACACTATATACTAGAAGCGAAGAGGGCGATAATACCTTAGATACTACGGCTAAGTCTAAGAAGGGTGGCCGTGGGAGGAACTAAGCTAAGAATTCTATAGGTATACCTTCTACTGCTTTAGCTAACCGTTCTTCTTCTAAGCGTCGTTAATCTACCCTGTAAAAAGCGTAGATATACCGCGTATACGCTATACCTAGTCACGATATTAACGCCTGCTTTTATCTATTCCCGGAAACAGTATATAACGACTAGTCTCCTTTTAAGAGTATAAAAATCATAGTCTAGCGGATCCTTAAATACGACCCCGCGATACGCGTAGAAGTGGAAGAACTACACGCCGTAAAGAAGGTGAAGAAGGATATTAGTCGTGACTCTATATAGCTGAAAGAGGCATGACTCGCCCCTAGTAGTATCTCCTACGCCGCTAGCTTTACTATAGGAGCCGTTACTACTAGCTATCAGATAAAGCGTAGTCGAAATCGTCACAAAATAGGTTAAGATTGATTAAGGTAATTGTGTATAATTGTAACTGTGTTAGACAGCTAGGGAAATGCTGCCACCGTATTTTATATAGTGTAGATTCTGTAACCGTCTACGCGGATTATACTCTTAGTAATCTGGCTCGTTATGTAAGTAAAAGGACTATAGTCTATTCGATATACCCCCTAATCGCTCTAAACGTTAGTTAGGCGATTAAAGCTATTTATAACCGGCAGATATAACAGCTATTTAATCTCTACGCTATAGCCGCTCTTAAATTCATCTTCCAGGTCCTCTAAATACTCTATCCGGACTTCCTCTAGCCATTTTTACTATAGCCGTTCCCGTATATCCATTACTCCCATCTAGAACCTAAATATCTTAAATTTCTCGCTGCATAACACCTTCGTTAACCCCTCTACCACTATTTCCGTGCCCGTAACGTATATTACGAGTATTTACCCTTATTTCTTTACTTAACGTAACTAGTGGCCGTGGATATCGATATAGCAGAGGCGCGTTATTAATATACTAATCTCTTAATTAACTAACCGAATCGTTTAGTTATTATTGTATAGGGTCCTTAATTCCGGATTATTATATTCCACTCCTATACTAAGTAGTAGTCGTTATATAAAGATACCCTCTTTAGCACCTTATACTAACGCTAATAGCTCTGCTTCCGTTATTAACGTTATAACCATATCCTGCTTATTAGCGCGCCACGGGATTATACCGCTAAATAAAAGTATTATATACTCTTAACTACTCTTACGATTAAGGGTATTATCGGCAAATATAGCGTTAGTGTACATTTTAATAGTATCGCTACTCCCTAGTTCTACTATAAACGATTAGCTATTACTTAGATAAAGAATTAGATAATCGACGGCCTTATAGTGTATAGGCCCTGGATTAACGTTAAACGGCATAGAAACCGCGACGCAGAAAATAACACGGTTCTTACGGCACTATCTAAAAACCGTCCGCTAAAAGGATAGGTAAAAAGTGCTTTTACTATATTAATAGTGACTCCTTAAGCCTATATAACGCCTTTTTTAGGTCTAAACGGCTCCTAGGGGCCAGAAAGCCTGGCGGCGGGTATATAAGGATATTATAGGGGAGAGGTATATATATAAACGCGTTTATAATATCGAATTATAATGGCGTAAGGTTAAAATAAGCGGTGATAGCTATTAACGCGCGGAATAACCGTCCGGCTAGCGTTACTACGTACGTCTCCTTAAGCGAGGATTAATACTACTAATCTCCTCATACTATAAGCCTTACCTTATATTTATATAAAAACCTATACTTATCGAATTTATATATTATTACCTATATCGAATTAAGAACCGAATATCTATCTACTACGGACGCTAGTACCTATATCCACGACCCTATCTCCTTTAGCTCCGTAGGTAGTCTTCTTATACCTATTAAAATAGCTGGCCGTAAGGGTATAAGGGTATATTGTAAGGGTTCTTCGGAGGAGGAGGGAGGTCTTTATAGTAGATCTTTACGGCCGCCGGGGAAGCCGCTGGAGTACCCGCCGGAGTAACCGCTAAGGTTATATTTCCTAAGATAGCCTCCCGAGTTATGCTTCCGGTAGCTACCGCTAAGACTACAGATTTATAGAGTGCTATTAAACGTCGCTATAGCGCTATAGGCGTAGACCTTTTCAACCGTAATGTAGATAGCGGAGTCCTATCTAATATATATATATCCGGGGCGTAACGGCTAGCGCTAAATACTACTACCTAATAGTCTCTTTTCCAGCTATTACCTTACTAGTTAGTGCGTGTTCCTGTATCTATAAAGAGCCCTATAACCGTTATTATAAGGATATCGCGGTATTATATTCCTTTATCCACGAGGAAGCCTATAGCCGTAGGTGCTTTATAATAATTACCTAAGATCACGGCTACTATTAGCGCTATAACCGATAGCGGGGTTACCGGTAGAGTAGGAAGCTATGGATTTATAGGCTGCTATAGACAGGGATTAAGCGTTATACTAACTAAATCACACGGTTTATCACCTAAATCTTATCCTTATAGACTTAAGATAGCCTCCT